TGCACATTGATACAAATTTCTATCTTTGAGGGTGTAAATTGAGATTTTTGATCTTTGAGGGTGCAAATTGAGATTCAAACAATCTTTTGGGGTGCAAAATGAGATTAACCCTATAATAATTAAATTTTTAATTAAAAATGTTACTATTTTTTTGTGGAGCATATTACTATTTGATGTTACTATTTTTTTGTTGAGCATGTTATTATTTAATGTTACTGTATATATATAGGAGCTATTAATTTTTTTAAATAAATTTTGATTAAATATAACTATTAAGAGTATTTTGAACAATGAAGATTAAAATAAATTTATTTCAAAATAAGTTTTTTGAGTGGACTTAAGTTCAAATAAATTTGCAAAAAAAGACCAACCTCCGAAGGACTTTTCTAGCAAGTTGATCCAAGCATTTAAAGTGGAATTAATTTATTGTATATATATGAATTTCTCACTCAATAATAGGTGATGATCCATAAAAAAAAATTGAAAAAAAAAATATTGGAGGGATATGAGACCAAGGTTCAGGGTTGAGTATTGCAGAACCAAATCACAAGGAATAATGTGTTTTTTGTTTTAAAAATGGGAAAAGAAAAAATAATTTATTTTTGGGGAAAAAGAAGAATGGTTTGGTGAAAAATAAAAGAAAAGAGGAAAAGACGTGGTGGATCACAAGTCAGATTCACGAGTAGCAACACTTGAACACACACACACCCGACCGCCCCATTAAATGTTCAGGCCTGTTGCTTACTGTAAACTCCAAGAGGGAGAGGGAGAGGGAGAGGGAGGAACACTAGGGTCAAATAAGCTCAAAGCAGTGTAATGGGTCATTTCACCCACTGAAGATTATTTATTCTTTAACTGTGCACTAGATGCATTCTGATTTCTGAGTTTGAGTGGTTGAAACCACATAATTACTCTTCTACTTTGTCTTTGGTGCACAGATTTCTTATGTTTCTTACTCTTTTTTAGCTTCTGCAGGTATATGTTCTTTCCTTAATACCTTTCTCTTTTGGATTCTGCAATCATTATTCCCTATTTAATGGTCACCACACTTACTTCACACCTGTTTATTATACATGTTTATATGAGATGTGGTTGGAAAATAGTGAACTACATGACCAGAATTTGATGTCATTGGGGCAGATAACTCAAATAATTGATTCATTGTTGTTATTCAACTATAGTTTTTTGGTTTCTGCTTTGTAAAGATCCGATTTTGGTTTAAGTTTTGTTTAGGGGAGGGGGGTGTTCAAAGTTTGGATTTTACTGAGTAGATATAAATGCTTGAAGGTTTTTAGGGTTGATTTGTTTATGGATTTTTAATGTTTGTGATTTGGGTTCCTTCCTTGGATTCATAACTTCAACTTTTGCTTTTGATGTTTCTGGCCAGTTTTTTATGGTGTGTTTCTCTTTGTTGGGATAAGATAGTCTTTTTATGGGGAAGAAGATTGGGTGCTTGAACTTGTGATTTTTTAGTGGACTATGATTCCTACTGAGTTGTGGTTGAAATCAAAGGGTTATAAAAAATATCAATCATATTCTGCTGCTCTTGTACAGTTACTCTCTCACTAAAATTATGCACCTTGCGTTAAAAGGATTAGAGTGGTTTCAAATCATCTGTCTAGGAAATATTCTTTTTTTTTTTTCTGTTAATTTCTTTCCCTCCCAAATTTGTAGAAGACATGTATAGGCTATATATTTATTTTTTACCCTCATTTGTTTTTTTGGTTGCGGTAGAGGGTTTGGCTCAAGTTGTTGGTGATTGGATTGCCATGTATTTACTGTTTAGGTAGTAAGTTCTAGATGCTTAATGAATGTGAAGTTTACATTAGTTTAGGAGTAAGTGCTTACTCTTCGTGCGTTTTAGTTTGAACTTTATAGAATGATTTAAGCTAATTAATTAGTCATTTTTGGTTTGTCGTAAGAGTGGAAAACGAGGATAAGAATTGTCAAACTCATCCATTTTAACAGTTTGTTCTTGGATTCAAACCAACTGAATCATTATATTAATATTTTATTAATTTCACTGCGTAGGATTTGGTTAGGTTCTCAAAAAAAGGGTATACTTTCTGAGTTTTGTTCTAAAATTTTTGGTTGAATATAAGTGTGACGTAAATGGAGTAGCTGTGATTTTTAAGCATTCAATTTTGTGACCAACCATTAAAATGAAGTGTTTATAACCTACTGGTTTAAATTTTGAGGAAGATTTATAAGTTACTTTTATAAATCCATTACTCTTTCTCCTGGTGACAATATTGGATTCAACTTTGGCTGCAGCAGACTGTGCTGCTCTCTTCATTTAATTTCTGAAATAGGCACCAAAATGGTGCAATGAAATAGATCAACCAAATAGAAACATAAGACCAGATGTCCTTTGTTTTAGATTTGATTCCTTTGTTTTATGACGTGGTTCATTTGACCCTGCAACTCTTGTTGAATTTTGGTATTTGTTAGATTTCCAGGCAGGTTATCATTTGTTACCAACAGGAGAGGACAAAATTAGAAAGTTTTGGGAATATCATCATGCTTAGGCAATCGCCTAGTAGAAACCAGAAATCTAAAGGAATTAAAGTCAACCATGTTCTGCAAATTTGTTTGTTGCTTGCTGTTTGCTTCTGGTTGACTTACCAAGTCAAACACTCACATGATAAAAAGAAAGAATTTGATGAAAAGGATGCAAAGATCTCATTAAACACAAGAGGTGGCAGCGAATTGTTAAGACTTGGAAGGAAAGATCTCTACCCTCGGTTGGAGGAAACAGGAACAAAAAATGAAGAGCATGACGAAGAAGCAGACGAAGAGGCTGCAGGAGATAATGAAGAAAACAAGCACAAAGAAGAAGAGCACGAAGATGACAAGAAGACTGAAGAGAAAGAGGGCAAAGGGAGAGGAGGTGGAGATGATGAGATAGATGAACTTGATCAAGAGAAATCTGGTGCAGAGATTGATCGTCAGAAGGATTTCATAGATGAAGAGAAGGAGAGAGACGAGCGTGATGGGAAAGGAACTGAAGAGAAAGATACTGAAACTAAAAATGGGCAAATGGAGGAGGGTTCTTTGGAGAACCATGATCATGATGAAGGTGCCAGTAATATACATGAAGCACGAGAAGAACATTATAAGGCAGATGATACTTCTAGTGCGGTGACCCATGATACACAAACTATTAGCACTGAAAATGAAAATGGAAGCTCAGAAAACTCAAATGAGCATGCTGAAGTGAATACTTTTGAAAGGGAAAATAAAGTCAACAACACTGAGGAAGTCAATGTTGGTCAAAACAAGACAGCCTTAAATGTGGAAGATGGTGAAATTGCTGAAAATGAGATTCTTTTAAATGGAACAGCTAATGCAGAAAAGCGTTCTGGGATTGTTTCATTCAGACCTGAATATGGTACATTTTTGAATCCTGTTAGTGACCAGCCACGACTAAGCAATGCCACGAATGAAGCGAGTACAGAAACTCATGCCTTGTCCTTGCAGAATGGAACAGAGACTATATCAGATTTTAGTCGAGTTCTGAATGCCACGGTGGGGGGCACTACTTCTGGGGAAGGCTTCAACTTACAGACCATTGCTCTGGAGCACGAGAACACCTACAGCACAACTACTGATACTAATCAATTGGATTTTAATGCAAGAATTTCCACTACACTTAAGGATGCTGAAGCAACACCTGGGGGGTTCCCGAATTCCTTCACTAATCCAGAGGTTGTTGCATCAGAAAAGTTCATAACGTCTAATACATCTGTTGAAGCAGAGCATAGCTCCAGGTCTTCAATAACAGGTGAAATTACTAATGCAACTATGAATGAGATGTCGGACACTAGTAATGACATGGATAAAACAGATGAAACCTCAGGCTTTTCCCAAACTGAGAAAGCAGAAGTTCAGCATGGCGCCATTGATTTCTCTGATTCTTCCATACCGGAGGAGACACAGGTTCGCACAGACCTGGAGACACTGCCAGAGTTAACTACTGAAGGAAGTAACATTGAAGATGATGCTGCAGAATGATAAAGCAGATAAGGCAAATTCTGGGTATTTCATCCTATCAATCTTCTCCTTGTTTTATTTCTCACACGCCAGTTCTATGGTGTGTTTTTGATACCTTCATCTGAAATATTGGTCAATTGTCCAGAGTGTATGGTTCTACCTTGCAGGCAAAATGTAAGCAAGTTGATATTACTAAAAGTTATCTGTATATTCTTGCTTTGTCAATGTCGGTGTTTTATTTTGTATGGTATTCTATTTCATTTGATTGAATGGAAAAGATTTTTTACATCTTTAATGTGACGCTTTTTTTGTTTCTCATTTGTGGGGATAAATCACCTAAGTAAAGGAATAATTATGTGCTATTGCCGAAAATGGTAGATGTTTCCCATAGGATGTCACCTTCAAAGTCTAAAAGATGTTCCAGTCATCGGTGGGATGATCTAATAGTGATTGAACTTCTTGCTCTTTCACTTATCTTTTCTTGTAGTTCGAAGTAGCTAACAGGTGAACACATGATTTCTATTTGTTTCAATCTCAAAGATATGTATTTGCTACATCTGAATGTTTTCAAGCTTCTTCAAGAAATCATCTGGTTGTTGCTTCTGTAGGATTTCATGGGGCTTGCTGGTCTCATAGATTTTGCTTCTTACTGAAACTGAGGTGGTTTCCAACCAATTTGTCTGAAGGCTTGACAGGCTATGAACTGTTTTGAGTTAGAAATTCTCATAGATCAAGCAGCAAAAGTGTTAGAAATGGTGGGTGATGCACTGTCTTGTGGACAAGGTATGGCAGGGGATACAAATATATAATACCAATTCGATACGACCTATTCACAACACATTGACGACAACTCTAATTCCTTGTATATGTTCAAATTTAGCTCACTCTTGGATAGGTTATGGCTTACAGGTGGGGTGCTTTAGGGATGGACATAATCCGAACTCCAAATGGCATATTTGCTGTAAAANTCTTGTAGTTCGAAGTAGCTAACAGGTGAACACATGATTTCTATTTGTTTCAATCTCAAAGATATGTATTTGCTACATCTGAATGTTTTCAAGCTTCTTCAAGAAATCATCTGGTTGTTGCTTCTGTAGGATTTCATGGGGCTTGCTGGTCTCATAGATTTTGCTTCTTACTGAAACTGAGGTGGTTTCCAACCAATTTGTCTGAAGGCTTGACAGGCTATGAACTGTTTTGAGTTAGAAATTCTCATAGATCAAGCAGCAAAAGTGTTAGAAATGGTGGGTGATGCACTGTCTTGTGGACAAGGTATGGCAGGGGATACAAATATATAATACCAATTCGATACGACCTATTCACAACACATTGACGACAACTCTAATTCCTTGTATATGTTCAAATTTAGCTCACTCTTGGACAGGTTATGGCTTACAGGTGGGGTGCTTTAGGGATGGACATAATCCGAACTCCAAATGGCATATTTGCTGTAAACATCAGTGGGGAGATACCCCTAAGACAACTGAAACCATACTCATGTGGTAATAGGTGACACAAAATTATATACAATCACGGCGTCAATCCAATATATACAATCGATTTGTGTGTAGAATCGAGTCAGTGTTGATAAAACATGATTTAGTCACACACGAAATTGATAAAACACTATTCCTTTCTAGCCCTATTTGATATTTCATGGTGAAACACGATTCATATTATGAACCGTTCTAAAGATCAAATGTGGCCCTTAAATTCAATTGGGTGATCTATCGACGGCGAAAATAGATGAAAAATGTATGAAAGTGAGTTCCATTCTATATTTTCGTCTAAAAGGAGAGTTGAGAGATATAACTGATAAACAACTTGGCTGTATTTTAAAAAAGCTGATTTCTAATTTCGAACCCACATTGTGTAGCACAGTGGATGAGCACTTTCCGTCCTAGATACATAGCAAATTAAATGAGAAATTCGAAAAAATTATGTGGTGACGAAGATGCCATTATACATCAAGAAAGTTGTCAAGCACTATGACAAGTTCTTTCATTGTTTTTTCTCGTGGAATTCTATGACATTCTTTTGACCTCATGCCAAGGAGAAGCAAATAAGATTCTATATGGGAACTTCGCTTATAATTGTTTGGCATAGATCTACATCTATTGGGGAAGAAAAAAGGGACAAACCCACCTTAGGGAAAAATGCTTTAGGAATTGTTTAAGTCAAAGTGGTAATTGTTTGTACATCCATCAAGGACCACCTCACACTTAATGTGCCAAACAATTCCCCCCCCCAAAAAAAAAAAAAAAAACCCACCTTTCTCCCCACCCCAAAAAAAAGTGCATCAATTTGAATTCCAATGTATTTTATTTTTAATTATCCTCAATTGTAAATCATTTGCCGAATATTAGTGGAGATCTAATTATACATAATGCATTACATTTAAATTTATGATAGGTGATCTATTACTGAAAAAAATTGAGCCAACGTCCAAAGTATAGTGAGAGAGCTAAATGCATCCGGAAATACCTACCACCTAATATGCCAAGAAAGTCCATGAAAGACAAAAGAAGTGTGTGTGGTGGGGAGGATGAGAAGGCTTGCCAACTAACCTAATTTGTTTTTTTGGGGCATAATGCCATCCTACATATAAATTCTTAAATTTTTAATCCAACCAACAACATAGGATTCCAATTTAGAATATGTTCTCCTAACAAACCTCAGATGGGTTGGAACACACTGGCTAACCAGAAAACAGGAGAATCCATCTTGTAAATTACAACTTTAAGAGGGTACGATAGATAAGTTTTCAATACTAAAAGTTCATGATCGATCATATCAATACTAAAAATTCATGATCGATCATAGGTATCTGTGATCGATTATGATCTTCTCTCGAGTATATATAACTTATCTTTTCAAATTTGTAACTTTACCATAAAAAAATGGTAACCAATGATACTGGTACCATTTTTTTTTTTTTTTGTACCATAGAGTTTCCCCTCCAATCAACCTAACTAACCATAGCAGCTCAGTCTAGGCAATCTCTGCTAAATGCATTGAATGGATTCCCATGTAGACTGCCTTGTCCCTGCATCTAGAACAAAACTGAAGTCTCAACTGGTAGGTTAGATTCCCCCACCATATGGTTGATTCAAGCTCAACATAAATGGAGTCGGCCCACGCAATCCTGACTTAGCAGAAGGAGGAGAGAGGGAGAGAGGAAGGGGTGTACCTTATCAGAGTATTCTAGAGTGCAAATGAGTTGAAGTTGTATCCCCAGCAGATGTATAGTTTTTGATAATGCAATCTTTATTTCACCCGAAAAAAAATACTTTTGTAATCAATTTAACAAATGAATGAGTAGATACATAGAAAAACACGAAAATACATTGTCACTCACTATACCTATACACTCTCTAGAAAATAACAGCTAAAAAGTTCTGTTACTTAATCAACAAATCCAACAATCAAAACACCTAAATGTAATGAAACGAAACAAAACAAGAGAAGAGAACCAGACCAAAAATATTATTCCTGACCCGGCTGCCTCAACTCCTTCCGGAGCTTATGCGAGAATAATCTGCAAGCATCCATACTAAGATCCATCGCAGCTGCCAATGCCACGAATGCTGCTGCATCCTCTGTGCACGTCACGTGCTGCACCCCAACCTCCACCTCCGGCTTGCTACACCTCCCAGCACCCTCCACCGTTGATGACATCACAAACCCTCTGTACAATAGCTGTGCCCATGACCCAGATCCAGATTCTGAACCAGATCCAGACCCCGACTCAAAATCATAACTGGTGCTAGGACTAGTCATTGGGGAAGCGCCAGTGGTGATGTCTATAGTGAATTTCCCACCATTTTTGGTGCTGATAGTGGAATTGGCAAGATTTATGGTGTCGATGCCACCCTCGGGGAGGAGTTCAAACCGGTAACCGAGGTGGTGACCGCCACTGTGTTCACGCCAGGCTTCCAGGCGGCCCCAAGGCTTCCAAGTACCTTGAGATGGGCGGAGGATGAGCCATGCACCTGGGTTTGATTTTCTGACTCTGTCGGTGCCTGGTGATGGGACAAAGGGTGTGACCATTGATGCGACAGCCACTGGTGAGCCGGAGAGGTCGTGAACGGTTAGTGACCATCCCTTTCTCTCGTTTACAGGTTGTTCCTTATCTGATGTGAAGGAACTTAGCCAGCTTTTTGAAGTGCTTGGTTCAGATAGTGATGATCTGTTTCATGAAAACTAAGATTAGATACCATTGAAGAAACTAAGATTATCAGAACTAAAAAGCTAGAAACCAAATGATGTGACACGACAAAATTCAGTTTATTTGACAATGCACAATTGGAAACCAGTTAAAGAAACATTTTTGTGATCTGTTGCATGACAATGCAAGATCGGAACATATCAGCAAGCGACAAATTAGATAAACAATTTGACTGAGCGACCAAAATAAATGCCAGATGAGAAACTCCAATCAACAAAGCAATGCAAGAAACACATCAGTTAAAGTAATTCCCCAATAATCAGGAAACGAACAGAAGGAAAAAAAAAAAACAAACAGTTGAATGATCTATTCTCTAATAACGCTATGCAACAAAAGAAAATTTTGATCTTTGTCATGGATAATTTTGCAGTAAACAGTCATTCAACAGTTCTTTTTATGGAATATAAGCAAGTCAATACATGCTAAAATAATTCTATCACAATTGTTCATGCATGGTGTCTACACTTGATCTTTTGCCAAAAGGTCAGAAAGTTAACTGTGCGTGCCATCTAAAAGCAGCACTTTTTTTCTTCATCATTTTTTTGTTTCTTTATTTTTCCTCTTTTTATCTATATAAAGGGTGTTTTCAAGAACATGAATTTCCAGTCCATCTACATATACGCAAACAAATACCTAACCCATTTTTCCATTATGGAAAAAAAAGAAGTGCTTCTAAGAATTGTCAAAGTCAATGTTACACACAGCTAAGCATTATGTTCAATTCAAAATACATGGCTCAAGTGAAGAGTTCAATTCCAATGTGCCTTTCTCTTTCATGTTTGGGTTTTACTTTTATCCGTCTTGTTGCCAAATGGAACAACGCCAATTCTCCAAGTCATACCCAGGAATCTCCATTGATAAACTTAAAAAACCTCTACATACATAATTTCCAAATTTAGAAATTTGCTCTAACTACAAAAACCAACATGACAAATCTCAAAAAAACAAATGAACAAACATCTTGATTACAAACAATTATACCCCAAAACTCAAAAAGTAATTGAGAAACACAAACTAACCTGGATCTGAAATCCCTCTCGCCGGAGTTTCTAAAACCGAACTTGCAAGTAAAAACCGGCTGTCTCACATTCCCATTAACTTGAAACACCTGTGGACTACACTCCGGCTCTCCATCGAACTGAAACACAAATCTCGGGTCAGGCTCAGCCCTTACATTCAGATGCAATTCCGCCGCCGCCGACGACGACTCTTTCACAGTCCCACCAACTTTTACCCATCCATTCTGAATCACACAACCTCTATTTTCCACACCCTTCAGATTATCCAACGGTACCGAAACACATCCCAGAAGCTTCCCACAGTTCAACCCACATGTATTCCCTCTCCTTCCAGTATAGATCTCTATCTTTAAACAAGTGGGTTTTTCCCTAGACGAAGATTTCTCCACGAGTTTGGCGAATTCAAATTTGTTCATGTTGAAACAAGCATGAATTTGGTCATCGATTTGATGGGTTTCTTGAGAGATTAAAGGGATTGTTGAGAACTGGGTTGCTAAGTTCTTAAGCTTAATCTTGCAGTAACATGGAGAACAAGAAGGATGAACACCCGACAAGGCCGGTTTCGTTGCCACTGGAAACTTCACCGCTAAGTTTCCTACTACAATCCTCACGAAAGGACACGGGTCCATTGAGTCCTTCCGTTCTAGCCCAAGAAATTTCAGTACTTCACCACACAGTAGGTATCAGTTGGAGCAAGAATGGACTTTGAATGAGATAAAGATGGTGATGATATACCGAGAGGGAGAGAGAGAGAACAGGCTGGATTGGGTGGGGGAAGATGTGAATATAATGCATGGAAATGCGTGCGAGGATGAGCTGTGTGCACGTACGCAGAGATGACAGCAATGGGGGCGTTTGGGGCATCTTCACTGTCAATTAACTGGCATTTTATTGTTCCATGATTTGTCCTTTCTGTAACCTTTTCTCTCTCCTCTTCTTGTTGGCCAACAACTAGGGCTTTTTTTCCCCATAAAATAATATATAGATAGATACACTATTTTTCATATTCGTCCAATTATTGTCCGGATTCTACACCTGTCAACTTATACTATATTTATTTATTATTATTTTTAATTAATTTCATATAAATTAAATTCGTTTATTAATTATGTCAGTATCGGATCTATTCGTTTACAAAATAATTGTTTTAAAACAATAATAACTTTCTAATTTTGTATCATATTAATCAGTCATGTCATATTTTGATATTCCTCGACACCACATAAATATTTACAAAATAATTCTATTCCAAAGAGTAGCTTAGCTCAGTGGATTTCGAAAATTTTCAACTCTTGTGAGAGTAGGGTATAAGGAATAAATAAGTCTCGGTATAGTTAATTTACCTTTAATTGAGTCAAAAAAAAATATTAATTAAAATATATATAAATTGACACGATTTAAAAAAATAAAATTTTAAAACAGTTATGTCGGATTTAAAGTTAAGGTGCTGACACATATCGTATGTACTAGAAATTAAATTTAGTCCGGTTAAATTACCATAATGATTGAAACTTAGGTATTAAGGGAAAACAGATCCAAATTCTTATTCATTCATTGGACAACAGCTCGGTGGCAGCGTCCTGGTTTCTGAGTTTGAAATGTTGGATGGGCTACAACTGGTGGACAGCTGTTAGGATCTTTTGCTTTGTGACAGTTGGACCGATTTGGACGCTAGGCTTTACCCACTGGAGCTCCGGTCCCACCAGGACCATCCTGTTTGCATGCGTTTTTTTTTTTCGCTTTTAATAGTTCAGTTCTTTTGCACAAAAACACAACATAAACCACAATTTCATTTGATATAGCATTACGGTTAAGATCGATAATCGAACTGAGTTACTCTAACTCAGTTTGTGTTCAATTAATTTTGTGTTCAGTTTGTTTTTTAAACGAGTTAAGCTCAAATAATTTTTAGAATCGACTCGTTTATATGTAAAATAATCAAGTTATACGAGTTCGACTCGGTTCGAACTTAACTTGTTTAAAAAAATAAGTTCGACAAACTCAGTTCGAACTTGCAAAGTTTGACTCGATTAGGTGAATAGAAGAATAATTTTTTGGATAAAATAATATTTTTATCTACAAATCCAACCTCTCACCTTTGAAGCCCCCATGAATTTCATTAAACCCTCTTTCGACCTCGAGTCTCAAATCTTGAACTAAACAAGAGTTTAGAAAGTGTATTAGACTATTTTTTATAAAACTCACCTTTTAAATTCCATTCAAACTCGCGCATACCAAACATGCTCTAAATATTAAAAAATATGTCAAATTAACAATACATTTGGTTAAAACATGAATTTTTTTTGAAGAAAAACTATTTTTTAGTAATTTCCTTTGGAGTTGTTTCTTTTTCTTTCTAAACTAACTTCAACATGAATTTGGGACCCATTTTGCACAGAAGAAGGCACCCACCACCGTGAGGCTTTTGGACAAGGTTTGTTGAATTGAATATAAACTTTTAATATATAATTGAATTTGGGATTTACACTTTTATGAGAGATTGAATGAGCTATTCCATCAACCAGCACATTGTTTGTAACTATCACTTATTGGACCAGTGGCAGTCGCAATACTTTATATCCTTCCACAGTTTAATTTATTTCCACCACCACCACCA